TTTCAGAATTTTACCAGGCACTGGTTTGATTTATCAATAGGTATATCCTGTCATTTACGTTATGTCGTCGCTGATTGATATTCACGGGTAATGTAGAAATTACAAGTAAAGCGATTGAGCCTAATACCGTTAAAAAAAATCCGTGACAAAACGATTTTTCTTGTGAATGTTGCCTGTGTCGACCAGGGAGCATCCCGCTGAGCGCAAATTTCTATGAATATTGTGCGAGGCCATCTCGTGATGTCCGAGAGGCGCTGGTAAAACGAAAAAAAATTATGGAGCTCGAGCTTTGGTACCCAACTAGAAATGAAACATGTGCTGTACCCAAAAGCACACAAATTGGTTAAACGTTATTCAAAATAATCAATTTAAAACCTAAAAACACAAAATAAAAAATAATAATTTAATTTTCGAAAGTGTTGTTTTTCACACGATCACGGCACTCGTGATCGTGTGGTCTACTACCAGTCGCGTCAGCTGAACCTAGCTGGGCATAACTACCCTGTACATGACAAGGAATTCTTGTCATTGCATTTACTTGGAGTAGACCGTTCGTGGTCTTCACCGGCCACGCTTCACTGCGAACGGCAGTGACGACTCCGCATATCTCGCAACGAATGCTTATCGCTCTTTGCGAAGTACGACTTCCAGGTTGAGTATAAACCTGGAGAATTGAATGTGGTAGCCGACGCGTTGTCGCGTCAGCCTGATTACGCTGTTTAGACAGCCGACGCCAATCAGATTGGCGTCTAACGAGTAAGTGTTTCGTCGTCGTCACTGGTCGACGACGTGAAGAACGTGTATGCGAGTGACACAGACGCGAAACAAGGGCTAGACTATGTCTTAGCACCTTCCGATGTGTCACGTCGGAAGTTGTCGCCACATCTGCGGGCTCATGCACACCGGTATCGTGTGCACGAAGAACTGCTGCTTTACAGCGCAGTGGGTGACGATGCGGATCGCATCGTCGTGCCGCGTGATTGTGATCTGTGTATGCGAATCATGTACGAGTATCACGATGCCCCTATGACAGGGCATCCGGTCGTGAGAAGCCATAGGAGGGACTTCTACGGGAACCATCAGTACAAGTGGGTGTGCAAGTACGTACGTGCTTGCGAAGTTTGTCAACGCGGGAAGTCTGCTGTGTTTTTTGCAGGGTTCATTACAATCACTACCGACACCGTCGGAGTGCTGGCAGTCTATTTGTATGGACTTTGTTTTCGGTCTTCCGCCAGACAACAAGCGAAGGACTGGCGTTGTGGTCTTTGTTGGCCGATTCAGGAAGATGGTTCATCTTGCTGCGGTACCGGCTGAAGTCACGGCCGTGCAGACTGCACGACTGTTTGTTGTCATAGTGTTCCGACACCATGGAACGCCGCTCGACATTGTGTCGGACCGTAATCTACGCTTTCCAGCGCGGCTCTGGCAAGAAGTGTTTACACTTCTTGGAACACAGCTGTCGATGTCGACTGCAGATCATCTGCAACGGACGGACAGACCCAGCGCGTGAATTGCGTGCTTGGTGACGTACTGAAGAGCTACGCACACTCGTTCCCACAGTGGAGCGACGGCTTGCCGATGGCAGAGTTTGCCATCAACATCTCGGTGCATGCCTCGACAGGACATTCACCACTTTACGTGAATGTCATGCGGCATCCACGGATTCCGAGCTTGATCGGAACGGTGAGTTCCTCCTTAAGTGGGGGAGGATCTACGGCTGCCTCGAAACAATCGCAGAAGAACACTAATACCGACGTGGTATCAACGGTGACGACGCAAAGACACGCTTTTCGTTCCGGGAACGAGGCGAAGACCAAGAACACCGTGTATGTGCAGAGCAGGTACAGCGAACAAGAAGACGTCGGTACCGGGTACAGCCAGCGCACAGGCCGGGCCTGCTGTGGAGAAGGAAGCCGTGCTGAACAAGTCATTCAGCATGCATTCACTGGACTTTTTCCAGCGCCAACAAGCCGTAATACGGTTTGTCCAGGACGCAATAGCAGCATATGTAGACAGATAGAAGCTGAACGTAGACAGTGTCGGCAGAGGAAGCACAAATGAATTCAAAAAGGGCTCATTAGTTCTGTTAGTTGCACAGAGCTGCCACGATATGCAGTTTCTGATTTCGGTGCAAGCAAGCTGGCTTAGCGCTTCATCGGTCCGTTCACAGTACCTGAACGGCATGGCAACACGTATACGTTGGACATACCGTCCAATATGCGACTCCATCCAACAGTTTACGTCGGGCGGCTGAAGCCTCAGAGAAGCACGAGCCATCAAGTCTTGATGACTCGAGGACGACGACGCGGTCGCGGGGGTGTCTCAGCTCCGATCCAAGTGCGACTTGGATGTTCAAAGCGACCTGCGCCTTCTGTAGGCGTAGCTGCTGTTGCAAGGCAGCGAGCTCCGCGCTCTGGGATTGTTCCAGAGCGACGCCACGTTGGTGCAGAGCGCGAGAGCCATGGTCATCCTGGGGTTGACCATATCTCTCCACCCCCGCCGCCGCGCGACGCGCACGGCTCGACACTCTAACGTGTCGAGCGGGTAGTGGACTATGAAGCCCTGAAGACGAACCGAGATCAGGCTCGACTTCGTATTCGTTGGAGAGATACATGGGAGCCACGGGACGTGAAGGACGTTCTGGACATGGTGAGGGCGTACGAGGCCAAGAACCGAGTGCCACCAGAACGGGATGCATCACGGTGCTCAAGTTGAGCACGGATGTCTCGCAGTTGAGCGGCTTGTTGAAGTACCAATTCGTAGGTACTGGGCTTTTCACGAGATGATTTATACCTCGTGTAATTACGCCTTGCTCCCGTAGAATATGGACTGGTTATGATTGATTGTTGGCAGAGTACCTGGTAGAATAGCCTCACTTTCCTTTTGATAAAGTCACTGAAGAGGTCCCGGCAGGGGCCTAAACGCGTCTGGCACGCGACCAACATGGATTGTCATTTTACTTACGTTTCCTTGCTTTAATAGGGCCTAATAACCTGTTGCACTTTCAGAAACCACAGGAGAAGTTACCGTGGGTGAACACCGGTTAACTTGTGTAGATAGTAGAAAATCCGAAATTAAATTCAAATTGTTAGCTTCTCTTCCTATCGCCGCTTGTGTTCTCGCACAGCCAGCGTACGTCGAAGCCTACACGGTAGCATGCATTTACAGATACCGTCTTACCTGTCTGGTTCGATCAGTAGCCAGCGACGTGGATCGCCGAGTTTGATTGGCTTCAGAACTTGGGGCTCCTAATAAATCGTGCGCATCCCCAGCGAGTTCTTGGCGGATGTCACTTACCATCCACCACCTCGCGCTTGATTCTTTCGTCAAGCGCGTTATGACCATGAAGTGCCGTCCAGCGGGTCGTAGAAAATCGGCTAGCGCTTGCCAATTGAACAAAATCCTTATCAGTAAAGAATGGTTCAAGAGGATCGGAGGGGCTACACTCTCGCGACAGTCAAACTCGCACTGCGGCATCAAACTTTTTCGTCGCCCCAGCTTGCAAAGCGATTGTAAGTACTTCTATAAACCCGTGCGTTGTGACGCTCGGCCCTGGTACCTTCTGACTTCGGGGATAATCACCAATGTATAGATGAAATGCACCACCATTTTTTTGTTTTGCCCATAGATGCAAAAGTAATTATCGGATTAATGTCGAGCTGTGAGTCGCTCAGATCAAAGAAGTCGTTCCTATCCATGGCAACGAACCTCAGAGAGGTCCCGGTATCCCACCCGCGTTGGCGTGGATCGACTACGAGTGCTGCCAAGTGTGACGGGATCACACAGCACCTTGCGTTTGAGGAAGTTGGCTTCCGGGGGTATACAAACTCTCAGTGAACAGTAGTCCACAGGTCTCTTTGTCTAAGGAAACGAAGTAGCCAATTTAAGGTTTGTAAACTGAATGTATTTAAAGGTAGACTAAGCTTGAGTAAAATTTACAATCTGTAAGTCACCTATAGTGAAGCTGTGTCATCGGCCAATGGTTGGCCTCTGACGATCCTGGTACCATGTACTTGTCTGGTCCGAAAAGAATTAACAGTTCTTCAAATCGGAGATAACCTCGGTCGTACAGCTCCAACGGGCCTGTGGTTGAGCTAGTCTGAAAGCTCTACTTACGTAGCGTCAGCACGATTTTATATGAACAAATTTCCCGCCAATTTTGCCAATACCTGACCATTTGAACTATCAATTTACGGAGGAGTGGAGTTTTTTTTCGCTTTGATCAAAATAATCAGAATTAAACTTTAAAATATACTAGAAAAAGCGCAAATTGAGCTTAATCTAGTGGTATATCACTAAAAGCAATTAAATCCATTTTCGCGTCAATTACTTTCAATCCGTGTGCATACAAATCCAAAAGTGAACTCATTTAAACCAATTGTCTCCATCTCAGTATGGACATTGACCAATCACACATGCGAGGTTTTTTATAGAAAAACCTAACTGTTAATTCTTTTAATGTGGACTGCCAGTCGAAATTGCCGGGAATGGGTTGCTCTAGGATATTAAACCTTGAGGTTTTCGTACAAAAACGTCCAATATCGTTTTTTGACAAATCAAATAAGTTTTCGAAAAGATACATTGTCGGTACTGGTTGAAAACAAAGCGGCTACTAAACTGGCACACTACTAAATTGGCAATTTACCTGACGTCGATAATTATCACCTACCGGTATGTATTACGTGCCAGTTTTTAGGGTAAATCTCGCTAAGAGCTTTTTCATGTCGAGGCTCCGGCCTCGCAAAGATACTTTTCACAAATAACGATGTCCTTGGAGAGCGACAGACTTGGACAGCGCATCGCTCGTTGTCGTGGAACAAAGTCGTGATTTGCAAGAAACCCATTTCGAGCTCATGCTATTGGCTGATCTGTATGTGACGCTGGGAGCTGAAGAAACAGACTCTGCCGGTCCGTTTCGCATCTGATCATTTGCAATTTCGCCACCTCTGACGCACTATATTATAAGAAACGTGTAGCCATCTCCAGCTTCAGACATCAACATGGCCGGAAGTTCGCTATGCTCGATGCGAAAGTCTCATGATCACGAATCCGCGCCACTGTTGCCAAAAGCGGATACACTGCTGCCAAAAGAGGGCAATCCGCTCTACTTGTATCTGCTCACGCTCTGCTCCACCATCGGCGGCTTTCTTTTCGGCTACGACACGGTATGTTGATAATGTTTTCAATGTTTTGCAATACCTCAGCCTCACCCTGCAACATGTGCATCTATTCGTCTTCAGGGTGTCATTTCAGGTGCTTTGGTGCTGCTTAAAAGCCCCGAGGTGTTCGACCTCACGAATCTTCAGAGCGAGAGCGTCGTGTCTGCTGCAGTAGGTGGTGCGATCATCGGCGCTGCTTTATCCAGTTGTGGCAACGACGTATTCGGTCGACGTCGAGTGATTCTCCTCTCCTCCGCCATGTTCACTGCTGGGTCGGTACTTATGGCATCTGCTCATTCATTCGGAGAACTGCTCGTCGGGCGTCTCGTCGTCGGTTTAGCGATTGGATTCGCATCAATGACCATACCACTCTACATCGCCGAAGTCTCACCTCCAGACGTCCGTGGTCAACTCGTGTCGCTGAATAACGCGTGCGTCACTGGTGGACAATTCTTTGCTTGTGTTCTGGATGCAATACTCGCCGATGCTGACCAAGGTTGGCGCTACATGCTCGGGTTGGCAGCAATCCCTGCATTTCTGCAGTTCCTCGGTTTCCTGGCATTGCCAGAGACCCCACGCTTTCTCATGAGTAAAGGACGGAAGGAAGAAGCTTGGGATTCGCTTATTAAAGTTCGAGGAACAATGGACGTCTCAGTAGAATTCAGCCACGTGGAGGATGAAGTGGAACACGATCGCTACGAAGACAGCAACGTATGGGAAGAACTGAAGAGCCCTGCCGTCATTCGTGCGTTGATCCTCGGGTGTTCCATCCAGGCTCTCGCCCAACTCTGCGGTATCAATACGGTGATGTATTACGGCGCTACCATCATTCAAATGGCTGGGTTCACCAACCCCACGACTGCCATTTGGCTCTCCGCGCTTGTATCTTTCAGCAACTTTATCTTTACGTTTGTCGGAATCTACCTCGTGGACCGCGCAGGTCGTCGACTACTTACACTCGGTAGTTTGGCTGGCGTCTTCTTCTCGTTGGTGGCTCTCGGAGGGAGCTTTTACGCTGCAGAGATGCAGTCCATGGAGGTTTCAGGTATCGGTGAATGCTCAGGCATCTCAACGTGCTTCGACTGTGTGGCCAGCGCTGCATGTGGATTCTGCTCCGAGGGCTCTCCCGACCCAATCTTCGCAGTATCCAACCCCACGAATGCCAACTTGTGTATGCCAGGCAATGCTGCGTCAACCACGCAGGGATCATGTGCAACGTCGAACTGGTCTTTCCAGGCCTGTCCGACAGACAGTCGAGCTCCTGGCTGGACCATCTTGGGCGCCCTCTTCGTCTATTTGGCTTTCTTCGCCAGTGGAATAGGCTGCATGCCCTGGACCATCAACGCTGAGATCTATCCACTTCGTGTCCGAAGCTTTGCGTTGAGTGTGGCAACTTCCGTGTGTTGGATCACCAACTTGCTGGTGTCGTTTACCTTCTTGTCGATTGTGGACGAGCTGTCCGTATTCGGCGCTTTCTGGCTGTACGCATCGATCGCCTTGTTTGGTTTCGCGTTCTTGTGGAAGGAACTCCCAGAGACAAAAGGCTTGGAACTCGAAGAGATTCAACACATCTTTGAGCGTCGTGAACAACGCACCAGCTCCGTTTTCTCGACTATCAGCAGCAAACGAACGGATGAGTAGGGCGTGCAATACTCTACAGAAGTCTCCGAGGGTTGAAACGCAACAGTGCATTCATAATACTAGTATATAAAATAGCTGGCGTGAAACTGGAGCTCTCTTCCACTGGAAAAACTACGAGTTGGAAATACCCACGGAGGGTGAAGACATTACGACACCTTCTTAAGCGCCTGGTACAGCCTCAAGCAAGTTCGGATCCTCCACGATAGCTTTGAGAGTCTTGGCCATGCGAGCAGCCTCCGATCCGTCAATGTAACGGTGGTCGATAGTCGTGGTTAGCGTCAATATTGGACGCACTTCAACTTTCCCATCCACGACAACAGCCTTGTCCATAATCGACCCGATAGTCACGAGCATCGGCACTTGAGAGTACGGTGTAATGGGGGAAAAGGCCATATCCAGTCCCATCATACCGACAGACGTCACCAAGCAGGCTCCAAACATATACGGCTCCACCCCCACCACAGGGATTCGGAAGCCACAAGCACTACCGAGCCAGCCCAAAAAGTTGACCATCGGACGGAGAACCCACGTCGACAAAGCACTCATGATCTTGTTCCGGTCTTCCTGTCCTTTGTCCTGACCACTGCGGATTTTGGTGGCGTCACCACGAACGTGATCGACCACATCCTGCAACGTCATCTTGTCGATTTTCGGTAGTCGACAAACTCCCAAGTCCTTTCCAGCACCCACTGCAACCAGGCAAGAAATGTCCACGGTTGGTGCCGGGTAGTAATTACCGAAGACCAAGTGGCCATTCACTGACGGAGCCTTGCTCAATACCTCACCAAGAGCACGCAGAACAATGTGCGTGATAGTGAGGTGGCAGTTGGAATCTTTTCGTCGATCTGCAATGTACTGGTTCGTCTTGGTTGTGTCCAACTGAAGAGTACCGAGAATCATACCGCTGTCTGGAGGTCCAAACGTAGAGATCATCATTTTTCTTCGAGGTGACATGTGACTTGGACCAAGCTGGAGTTTCAGTGCGAAGAACAGGATCAGCAGGATCACAGCGACAAAGTGCACAGCGGTAGGAAGACCGACAGTTTTCAGGGCCAATACGGCGCCTCCGAATTGAATCGCGTACATGGCCACGTCACTGATCGTATTCTTGTCCGCTTTCGAAAGATCCATCACGTCACCTGCCTCTGTTGCTTTTGGCTTGTCCTGCTGCACCTCCTTCGTAGACGAAGCCTTCCCGTTTGGGGTTGACAGCGTGTCCACATGCAAAGGCTTAGCAGCCACCTGAGACGCAGTACGAACCAACTGTGGCGTACTGTTAGTCAGGTGGTTCACTCCGTTCTTGGCTACAGGGCTGCCGAGCTTCGCCGAGCCCAATGAGGACGATCGCTTCTGGGTCTGGGGAAACTCGAGCAGCGTGTTCGTCAGCTTCCCTTGAGCTGCGATCTGGTCGAGGTCTCGTCTGGCCTTGATCACGTCACCCATCCGAGAAATGACAAACGGCTGATCCGCTGCTGCCTTTCCAGCGATGCGCGCTGGGATGTTGCCCTTGAGATCTGTCTTGACCATCGTGGTCACCTTGGCACCGTCGTACGCTGCGTTGGGCACAATCTTGGTACAGCCCAGATGCAGGTCACCACGCACAACCTTAGGCTCTTTAAGAGGACACAACTCGTGATCTTCGATACTTTGCACCACCACAATGATCGTCCCACCAGGCAGCACACGCCAATGCGCAAGGTTACAGAAATCTCGGCCAGCAACCACGAACATGGACTTGTACTCGAGGTAGTCGATGTTGGTCTGCGCGTCCAAGGACTTCAAGTTCATACCCAGTGCGAGTTGAGGGTCCACGAGCTTCCTCTTGGCGGCGTCAGCCACTTGCTCCCAGATGGCACGCGGATGATACGGCAAATAGCCTACACCTTTAGCAGCGGTCAGTGAGCCATCCACCTTGGTGTAGGCCTTGACCCCGTCTTTGTCTCCGATGAAGTTCCAGGACGCTTCATCGTTCATCTCAGCTTCCATTCGAGCCACAGCCTTCTCAATAATCTCGCTATACTCTTCTGGGACGGCAGGGAATCCTTCTTCAGGAACGACGCTGGGACGATGACCAGACAAAGACTCAGTGTGGTCCTCCTGATCATGGACATCTGCCGACTGCGATCGCATCGAGTAAACTTCTTCCTCGTCTTCCACGCAATCAGTCGTGGAGATCCCGAACAAGGTGGCGTTTGTGACACGCTCCCACTGCCGAGGACTCTCGTCCTCATCCAGAGCTTTACGCAGTCCGTCGACCACGAATGCTTGTTTGATGAGCATCTTGGCCTGGAGACCGGCAGGGATTCCTGCCTTCAAATCCACTTTGGTGATGTATGTGGCGTCCACGCCTGCGTAGTCTTTACTAGGTGTAAGTAAGAACCCAGCCATGACAGCTCTTGCACGAACGATCTGGGGCTCCTGGCTCTTGACGAAGCTGTCGTCTTCAACGGAAGTGGCCACAACGACAATCGACCCGTCTCGAAGGACACGCCAGTGGGTCAAGTTGACCAAGTCTCGACCTGCCGCTGGGAAGACGGCCTTGTAGGTCAAATGATCCACCCATGTGTGGTCGTTGAAGACGTGCACACGTTGGGTGGCAAGCAACTGTGGGTCGTATGTGGGTCGTTTTGATAGTTCCAGAATCAATTGGAGTACTTTGTGTGGGTGATGAGCGATAAAACCCACTCCCTTGAAGGTTCCGACCTTCGAAGCATGACGCACGTAGGCCTTGACGTCTCGTTGCTCAGTCTGGAACTTCCATCCGTCTGCATCGTCTCGTGCTTGCGTCACGAACTCGGCCAATAATCCTTCCATACTGTCGCGATGTTCGTCCGGAATAGCCGCCCCTGGGGCCTTCAGGAGCTCCGTCACGGATGGATCCACGAGCATCGAGTGGGATGAAAACAAAGGCAGCAGCACATCGCTACTGGACGTGGTGGACGTGAGCTGTCGAATGGAACTGGCGGTCTGCGCCATGGTGGACGCCTGTGTGAGTGCATGGATCCAGTCCTCAGTGCGACTGGGCAGTGTGGCAGCTAGATCGTAGACCTTGGAGGTCTTTGGGTGCGAGATGCGGAAACTGTAGAGCTTCTTGTCCTTGGTAGCGCGAATGTGGCAGCCTGTGAGCACCACGATGCCTTTGGGCACCGAGTCACCTTCGCGTTTGTAGTAATAGAGTACTGTGCCCTCGAGCGAGAAGAAGCGCGGACGCCAGGACCGACCCAGGCCCGTCTTCTTGTACAGATGGCCAGACTTGCGCAGAAACGACGAGCCATTGGTCATGGGGGGCGCTGACGGCGGTGGAGGCTGCAGTGTGTTGTGCATTGTAACGTGTCTTGCTGGGCCTTTGGCTCTGCGGTCTTGGTGGCGACTTGCGGACTGGTTGTTGCTGAACGATCGCCATCTTCCACGACTAATAGTTGTCAAGCTGTGGCCCATAGTGAAAACAAGTGGATTAGTCCCGGCTACACGCACGTGGGTGATGGCCCAGGCGACTCAGGTCACCTGGGTCGCCAGTTTCAAGCACGTCAACCTCGCACTTTGGTAATGGTATTTTATCTAAAAAGCTCGACTTACCGCGCTGTAGTGCAGGACAAGGAGACAGCAATTTTGTTGCTGGTGCTATTGTAGGACAATTGGAGAGCGTTGGCGTTTATTTACCGCACCAACATGACAAAAGTCTGATCCTGCTATTGTGAAGTGCATTGCATGGTTGTTCGAGTGTCTTTGCAATGGCAGCCTTTACTCTATCGACTCTTAGCTTGCTGATTATTCGTAAAGTCGATTCAATAGCTTTCGCAAAACAAGCAGGGTTCTCCAAAGACTGCACCCCATTTCCGAATTCGACGTTAAGGTCCAGCCGCTAGCACTTCTGCCGAAGAAATCGGCTCCATGTCGCTTGTCGTGCGATCAAAGTGCTGCGATGTCTCGGCTAGAAGAGCATACCGAATAGTGAGCAACGATCGCGTCGACTACTGCACATGTAGATGCATGTCTGTCATTGTTTCGCTTCCCTCACCCAAGGGCCAGCCTCTTCTTTTAATTGGCCAATATTCACATTAACCGCAGCTTCAATCTCCATCATTCCCCAAGTTCCTGATGCGCGTATTCTACCGCCTCGGCTCGGTCTGCAGCGGGTCTCCCGTGCTCATGGCGCTCTCAGCGCTAATCTGTAGTGCCGTGATGTGTCTCGGACTCCTCAACATGCAGCTGCAGACCGATCCACAGGGACTCTGGGTGCCTCCCAACAGCGTCGCGGCTCGGGAACAAACGCGCTTCGATGAGCTTTTCGGACCTTTTTTCCGCATCCAGCAGCTCATTTTCTACGTCGAAGGAGACACAAACCCCAACTCAGACTCAGAGTTGGTCCCTGCGACGTGTGACGCCAACCACGATTTGGTCCAGCGGCAGTTTCTGGTGCAGATGGCCAAAGTGCAGACCCAAATCACAAACGCCGTCGTGTACAGCCAAGACGAAGCTAACGTTTCGCTCACATTGGAGGATTTCTGCTACCGACCGATCAAGGGCAAAGGGTGTTTGATCACCAGTCCGTTCCAGTACTGGCTGACCAATTCCACTTTGCTTCAACATGACCCGGACATTAAGCTCACAACAGCCTGTCAGACGACAGACCCCGTACTTAAAGACCATTCCCCCTGCATGGACCAAAATGGCGTACCAGTGATGAGAAACGTCGTATTTGGCGGGTTATCGAGGGATGAGTGTCATCAGAACCCAGACCCGTGTGGAGAAGCTACACCTCAAGCCAAGGCTTTGATGGTCACGTTTTTGCTGAATAATAACCCAGAGAACGAGACGTTCACACGGTATGCTAAATTATGGGAAAAGGAAGTGTTTCTCCTTATTGCAGAACAGGCAGCCGAGTCCTTGAAGCCTTCTGGAGGAAATACAAGTGGAGAATTTATCTGGGACAGCGTGGAAGACCCGGAGCTGGCAGATGCTGGTGTCGACGGCATGAGGCTCACGTACATGGCGGAGCGGTCAGTTGCGGATTCGTTGGTGGTACAGACAAACCAGAATGCATTCATTGTGGTTGTCAGCTACCTCGTCATGTTCCTCTACGTGTCGGCGTCTCTGGGTAAGTTTTCGGACCCGGTACGATCACGTTTCGGACTCGGATTGACAGGTATTCTTATTGTACTGCTTTCACTTGGTGCTGCTATGGGTATAAGCTGTACCCTACTGCAGATGGAGGTGACGATGATCACGTTGGAAGTCGTTCCGTTCTTGGTACTTGCCATTGGTGTGGATAATATGTTTATTTTAACCAACGAGTTCGACAGATTGGCAACTCTTCGTGGTCTTGCAACGCTGGATACCAAGCGCAACACACGTGATCGAGCCGAAGACGAGCTGTTGATGTTGAAGCAAGTTATGGGAGAAACTATGGCCAATGTGGGTCCTTCGATTGTCGTTGCGGCTATGGCGGAATCGTTGGCCTTCTTGGTGGGCGCACTCACCCGCATTCCGGCGCTAACGAGCTTCTGTGTTGTGGCCGCGTTGGCTGTTGCCGCTAACTTTGCGCTTCAGATGACGTGGCTCGCGTCGGCACTTGTGCTAGACGCACGTCGTGTGCGTGCTCGTCGATATGATTTATTCCCGTGGGTCAAGCAGAAGCTCACGCTCACGCCGCCAGTGAAGGGGAAGAGAAGAGTCGAGTCCAAGGATCACTACCAGTACGACTTACTTGTCGACGAAAATGCTCCAGACCCGGGAAATTTGGCTCGTCCAAGTTGTGCTGGTCTTATTCAGCGCTTTGTGGAGAGAACGTACATTCCGTTTCTGCTGCGTCGATCTACGAAAGTGGTGGTGCTTGTAACAGCAGTTTTAACTCTGACGCTAAGCGCTTTCGGCTCGTCCGAGTTGCCGCTAGGACTGGAGCAAGAACTTGCTGTGCCTACTGACTTTTATCTTCACGAGTATTTCAAGAAACAGACGGCACTTGGCGAGGCTGGGCCTCCAGCGTATGTTGTTCTGGACAGCGATGTGGACTACACAGATGCGCATCTGCAGCGAGATGTGAACGTGCTCTTAGACGAGCTTTCAGGTCTTCGGCAGTACATCGACTTGCCCATTCACTCGTGGCTGCACACGTTCAACCAGTGGCGACAAATGCGCTTTTTCCTTCACGACAAAATCGATCAGGGACTCTGTGACTGTCCAGTGCAGCCAATGGATCCGTTCCCTTATGAGTTGGCAGACATTGGGAATAAGGAGCGAGAGGACGTGTTCACGGCCATCGAGTACGGATATGGCGCGCCTATGGTCGCCAATGTGACTCCCAACGCCCTGTTCTACCCGTTGGTGAAGAATTTTACTGGCATCTCAATTGATTCGACATGTTGTCAGCACTTTGGCCTGTGTGGTGCGCAATATGAAGGTGACATCATCTTCAAAGAGCCAAAGGCTGATGACGATAGCAGCGTGTCCATCGTTGGCTCTCGAATGCGCTTCCAGCTGAACGCACTTCGCAATCAGTCGATGTTTGTGAACTCGTACTTTTATCTGCACGACGTGACGAGTCGGTGGAGTTCTGGTCGAGCTGCAACTGCATTCCCGTACGCTCTTGTCTTCGTCTTTGAAGAACAGTACACTTACATCCAGGGAGTGGCTTTGCAGAGTGTGCTGCTGTCATTAGCTGTTGTGTTTGGCGCGGTATTTGTGCTCATGGATGGAAGCTTGCGATTGACTACTGTGGTTACTCTGTGTGTGCTTTCGATGGCCTTCTCGCTATTGGGTTTCCTTTTCGTGTGGAATCTTCTAGCTGGACCGGGTGCTGAGACGTCTATCAACGCTGTATCGGTCGTGAACTTGCTCGCCTGTATTGGACTCGGTGTTGAGTTTTGCGTGCATATGGCTCATCAGTTTTCTTTCTCGGGGAGGCATCACCTGGGAACAACTGGCAACGACCACACTCGTTATGCTCTGACCAGCGTTGGCGCGTCAGTTTTCTCAGGAATCACACTCACTAAGCTCTGCGGCATTGGTGTACTAGCGTTTGCACCGTCCATGTTGTTCCGCGTGTATTTCTTCCGGATGTACTTTGGCATTGTTGTGCTGGGTTGCTTCCACGGTCTTGTATTACTGCCGGTGCTACTCAGTCTAATTGGTCAGCCACAAAAGTACCCGAATGATCTGAGCTCGTTCCTGCTGTCAGAAGAGCGCGAGGACGAGTTTGAGGACGAACTTAGCGTATTCAAGTAGTGGAGCTAGACAACGGACAGAACTCACTTGACTGAAATGGAAATGTACGCTTTGTCGAACTGAAAGACGTTGAACCGACGAAGATCACGTCGATGTTGTGGGAAGTTCTAGCGAGGCATTGCTTTAAACGCTGAGCTGACGTGCTGCGACTTCTTTGTATGCATTTCTAAGCCGACAGACCCTTCTTGGTGCAGAAAGGTCAGATACTCACAGAATTAATGAAAGCGATCTTGGTTCATGGCACATGACTCGTGCGCTATAACTTTTTTACAGCGCTTTCAATGGTGTCAGAAGGATGCGGACATAACTTTTTTACAGCGCTTTCAATGGTGTCAGAAGGATGCGGACACCATTAATCAATGAAAGAAAATGCCGACCAGGATAATTGTTGTGAAACCCCTGATTATCATTGGATTGACAGTCGTTTAGCTCGCACTACAAGCTATAGCCCGACACCCAACCAGTTGTTCGCTCGACGAACACTTAAAACTGGCGGAACTGCTTGCGCACGTTGATGGGCTTGGTCTCCGAGGCAGGCTCGACCTCCAGCACGTTAAAGCGCACCGTCTTGGCAAGCGGGCGGCACTGGCCGATGGTGACGACGTCACCCTCCTTCACGCGGAAGGCAGGCGACAGGTGGGCAGCCACGTTCTTGTGACGCTTCTCGAAACGCTTGTACTTCTTGACGAAGTGCAAGTAGTCACGACGCACAATGATCGTGCGTTTCATCTTGGTCGAGAGAACGACGCCCTTGAGGATACGGCCACGAATCGAGATGTTGCCAGTGAACGGGCACTTCTTGTCCACGTATTGGCCCTCGATGGCGCTCTTGGGGGTCTTGAAGCCCAGACCCACCTCCTTGTAGAAACGAGGGCCCTTCTTCTTACCGGCAAACTTCTTGCTGGCAAGGAACACGCCCTGCTGCTTTTGGTAGGCCTTCTCAGTCTGTTCCCAGCGAAAAACACAAAGGGGTGAGTATTTCGACAATTAAAAGGGGCACAGGAAAGTGGAAAGATCACGATCTCTCTGACTGCAGCAGATCAGCATCTTTGTCGACCTCAAAAGGTCCAAAAGGGTTCTGCCGGTGATGAATCGGTTGAAACGACTTCAGCTCGTTCGGGTCTCGCGGTCAGCAAAAAGAGAGAGCAAGGTGTCTCTCTCTTCTTACGACTGTCAATCACTCATGAACGAGTATTTGTGTGTGGATTATAGCCTTGGTGGGCCATCACCCCAACCAACTAGCTAGCCAGCGCCTTCAGTGCCTTGTGACAACACGCTACACTCCTCACAGCGAGACTCGCTCTCGTCCCCTTCCAGTTCCTTCCGTCGACTCAGTCGCCTTCCGCTTACCGCCAGTCATCTCCCTGCGCCTTATAGTAGGTGCGTCATGGGTACCTGGTCAACGTGCTCCATGGTGTTGTCGAGGGGATTCGCTAATGGCTGCCGACTGCCTGTTGCGGAAGGCAACAGAGGCGATTGGCTGTCAGTGCGTTACTTCAGCAATTTGTTAAGTGACGGTTTTAAGTGCCAACAGTTTTGTTACTTCTGAGTCGACGACGTCTTAGGAGATAAGGAATCTGCATTCTCTGAAACTTTTTGTAAGCAAGTTTCTGGGGTTCCAGTACATGTAGCTGCGCTATAATTGTTGTAGTCCTAGCATGACAATGAACACGAAAATCCCGTCAAACAGACCTGCTCATTTATTGATCGCACATCCACTCATCCTCTCTTTTCCAGCCGATAATGTGCTACCTCCTCGTCGTTGCGGCCGAATCCCTGTAGACGCAGCGACGAATTCTGATATGCCAACATGGCGCCGCCCAGCGTGCCAATGATGCCTGTGAACAACATTCCAGGGCGTGCCAAACTGCGGTCCAACTGATGAGCTGGCAATGGCAAATAAAACAGAAAACAACCGTCAATTTTCTTTTCCGAACGTCCACACCTCTTATTCTACAGCACAACGCACCTACGATGTAACCGAGCGGGAACGACACCACGCCCAGAGCCACGCTCTGGATGAGATCTGCCTGGCTTAAGTTGTCGCGCACCTGCTGGAATGTTGGCTCCTTGTAGATGACCGGAAACCGCGGCACGTGCGGGTCGTGCAGCTCCGGCCGCTCGCGATCCACTTCCTTGCCGTCCATAGTCGTTCTAGCTTGCTTCCTAGAATTTCAGGTACGCTCAAGTAACCTTGTTAAGTACCTTATGTAATTGACCTAAAAATCCAGCAGCCATAATCAGAACACGGTACTAAAAGTGAAGAGACCCCATGGACGAAGCGTACGCCGTCAAGCAGACGCAGTTCCTGGGGAAACCTGTGCGCTACGTGTGTCAAAACGCCAATGGGCCGTGTCCGCTGCTTGCCATCGCAAACGTTCTGCTGCTACGAGGGCAGTTGTCGCTGGAGGGGATCGCGGAGCCACCGGGTTTCGTCAGTTCTCAAGACCTCATGCAACTCGTACATCGCCGCCTCTTGGACACGAACCCACCGGTAGGTAACATCGTTATAGGTTGGGCTTAGAAACATTGCTGACCAGATTGGATTATTGCTGTTGTAGCTGAGTAATGCGAGCGAGTTGCAGCGCCTGACGCAAGAGAAGACGCTTAAGGACGTGACAGAACTGCTCCCCAGTCTCTTTGTGGGGCTGGACGTCAACGTACGTTTCCATAAGTAAGTTAACTGGTTTATAAGAGTAGAAGGAGAGGAAAATGGTGCTCTGACGGGCTCTTTGTGACTCATTTTTTGGTGCCAGTATTACAGACTTTGAGTACACGGTAGCGTGCGCAGCCTTTGATATGCTGGACATAGTGTTGGTGCACGGCTGGTTGTTAGATGACCAGGATGAAAAAACGGTGCGATCTAGAACGGCATCGAAGACTAAAATTACGTTGGGTGCTCATTGTAATGTGCTGGCTCATCGCAGCTGAAAGTTGTGGGGAACAAATCGTACAATGAGCTGATCGAGCGTTTAGTGGACTACCGCGGTGTACTCATGACGGAACAATCCAATAAGAAAGCATCGACCGATACAGAAAAGCAGGAAGAGACGGAGGTATCGTCATGTACTTCGCCGCGGCAGGATGGGGGCGAAGAGGAGGTCAAACCTGCAATTTCGTCTCTCCTGTCGCCGATAGCGGCGCAGACGACAGGGTTTCATAACCTTTCGATTGATGTCGACTGTAGCCCTGCTTCGCTAAACGCAGCGGTATCCCCCGGCTCTACGTCGTCGATAAACTCTCCGAAGAAGAGTCCGTCGCAGCAAACTGTGCAAACCATGATGAAGGAACGCCACATGAGCGATGCCGATGCGCTCGACACAGCCATCACTCTGTTGGAAGAAGGGCCAGTCCTTGATGACTTCTTCAACTCGACAGCTAGCCAACTCACCTACTACGGACTCGTGATGCTGCATGAAGGTCTTCGAGAACGCCAGCTGTGCGTTTTCTTCCGCAATAACCACTTCTCCACGCTCTTCAAGGTACGTTCAATCGTGCTTTCTTCCCGGATTACGAACTGATTGACTCTAAACGGCTTCATGGCCAAAGTTTGAAGGCGCCTTGTATCTCCTGGTTACCGACGCAGGATACCTTGACGAGCCTACAGTCGTGTGGGAGCTGCTCAACGAAATTGACGGCGACACAACGTATCTTGACTCGCAATTTCGACCAGTTACGTCTTCGGAACAGCAGCAGAACATCTTGACGCAGCAGCAACAGCAGCGACTTGATGAGGAACGGGACTTGCAGAAAGCGAGAGCTATGAGTCTTACGGGTTGTGTCCCCCCTGCTCATAATGAGGAGCAGATGACAAGTACGGATACCACGAGGGCTGCTGAGCACACCATGCCGAGTAGCGGGTTGTTTGGGGATGAAGAAGAGGGAAACCTTGACCCAGATTATCTGCTAGCCCTGAAGTTCCAGCGCGAAGAAGAAGAATTGGCGCGTGGGGGGAATAAGCGCATGTCTCCGCGTATCTCTCCTCACCACTTGAAGCCTGTCGGTGTCGACCGGGACGTTAGCAGCGCCACGGAGCAGCAACAACCTTCACATGAGGACGACAGAAGCCGAGAAACCAGTGAGAATGAGGTGATTCCTGTCACTGCTGATGGACGAATGATGTTCTCTGAGGAGGAACTGGACGCTCAGCGGCAAGCTGAACGCTACTATCAAGAGCAAAAGCGCCAGGTCGACGCACAGACGCGTCAGTACCAGCAAGAACAAGAGCGACTGCAGCAACAGCAATTACTGCAACAACAACCAATCCGTGGCCAAAGACGTAGACCCTCTCAAGGCAGTGACTGCATCATATCGTAGGTGCTTGCGGAAGTGGACGCCGCGATCCCCCCCTCGTCGGTATCAATAGGTTTCAACTCGCAAGTACAAGTACATACCAACATCCCACTCAAGAATTATAGATACAGTAAATAGTTATTCTTTTGTCATCGTACAAATCTTTTTGCTTGCGTGCTTAAATCTTGATCCGAACCGAATCAACTTCCAGCTCTGCCTCCAATTCCACCTCGGGGTTATCGTGTTCGCTCTGCTGTTCGTTGCCGTGCTCATAGAACTCACCGAAGCTGGACTCGATGCATTCGCTCATGTCCTTGCTGGTGCTGGCACGACTACATGTAGACGAAGTGGGCGACGCTGTCATCCTAGCTGCAGACATCATGGATGCACACGAGGCATTGTTAGCTCCAGCGTGAACCGGCCGCACGTAGTCGAAACCAGCAAAGTCGCGTTCAAAGCAGCTCGCGATCTCTTCGGGTGCGTAGATCGTGTGAGGCTGCTCGGTGAAGTGCGGATCGAAGTTGGCCACGAAGAACTCACCAGGCGGTCCCGGCACAAGAGGAGGCGCGAGTTGCCGTTTCAGCACTTGGTCCCAGTCAATTCCGTTGAAGAACGCGTGGTTCTTAATCTCTGCGACGCCTCCACGGAAGCCAAGTCGGTCTTCCTGCCGCTTCTCGAGCAGAGCCACCAGCAAACTCTTGAGCTCAGATGACATGCTGTTTGGGTAGCGCACAGGTTGATACAATATCCGCTGGTGCGTGCTCTTCTGGCTAGATTGAGGCAAGTAGAATGGTGGATATCCAGCACGCAGCTCAAAGAGGATGCAGCCGAACTGCCACAAGTCAACTGGAAGCCCATGGCCATCAGGGTATCGACCCACCATCTCGGGCGGCAAGTACGTGTCGGTACCGCACATGGTCTTGGTGCGTCCAGCTCGCGACTCCAGTCTCTTGGCCAGCCCCATATCTGCCAACTTGATGTGACCTTCGCTGTCCAGCAGCACATTTTCAGGCTTGATATCTCGGTGCAGAATGCACATGTTGTGCATGTGCTCAAGTGCCAGCAACAATTCCGCGGCGTAGAAGCGGACTGCGTCTTCACCGAAGCTGCCTCCGTTGTTTTGCATATGCAGGAAGAGATCCCCGCCCTGCATGAACTTGGAAATGAGGAACACGGAGCGACCCCGTGCCAGCGCGTAGTCCAACCCCATCACGAACGGGTGCTCCCCGACCCACTCCATAGCTGCTCGTTCAGCGAACACCACCTTCGCCTTCACCTGTCCGAGCTTCATCTCCTTAATAGCATACAGCTGGCGATCCGAGGTATTCGACGCCAGGATCACACGTCCATAATGGCCACGTCCCAGTAGCTTGAGCGTACAAAACTCATTCAACGACGGCATTCGGTGCTGCACTGCAGCTGCTTGAGCTGCAAACTTGGCACGATCTTTCTCTGTGTCTGCAGCGAAGTAGACGGCTCCCTTGCCAGACTCGGGCGTGATGCAAAACACGTAGCCAGCCGAGTCGTCGTCGATGAGCTTGATCTTGCAGTTCTGCAGATTTAGATACTTAAGCGTGTTTTGCTGCCAGAAGCCAGGCACTCCCGCATCTTCTGGTTTAGTGGCTCGATAGTACACCAGGTACGTCGACTTGATCATAGCGCAGTACTTGTGTGAGCTCCACACTGGCAGTAGTTGCCGTCGCTTGCGGAACAGGTTGATGAACGTAGAGGGAAGCGAGTTGACAAACCGCTTCGACTCCTCACTCAACACCGAGTCCTTACGTTGGAAGAGAAGCACCATGATAGCTTCGGACTTAGCTCCGGAAGATAATTGCGAAAATGGAGCGCTGCGTCGGGAAACGAAGAAACCAAGGTGATCAATCGACGATCGATTGAGCCGATGGGGTCAGGCACCAATTGCCAAGTGACAGTGTTCGACACCGCGTCTTCTTTCGACCGATGGAGAACACTTTTGTTCACTAAAAATACGAGCAGCATGAGAAAATGGGACGAGGAAAAACAAATGGCACAACGGCAACGCAAAAGGAAAGTACAGTAAAAACGGTGAGCAATCAGTTTCCCACGTCAAATAGTGTACTAACTGTACATGTACAGTACATTGTACTGTGCACTAAGAGCACCTACCATTCCAGATCAGAACTTGAGGGACTTAAAGATTTCCGCTGCAGCAAGAACGCAAATTCAAGCGGTCGGGCGAGGGCTGGGACAGAAGTATGGATAGTTAGAGCGGACTAAAGAATCGACCCAGATCGATGATGGACAAGAAGTTAGTCAAGTTACGTTGTGAGATTGACTACCGGTGCGTTAGCGGCACGCGATCTGTTCGTTCACCTTCTACTTATCCTCTTTCTTCTCCTCATCTCCATCCTTCTTCTCGTCTTTCTTGGCCATCTGCGCCATCGCAGCCTGAATCTTGGGGTCGTTCGGGTCCACACCAGGCAGACCGGATAGCAACGAGTTGACGAACTTTGGGTCCATGAACGGCAAGTTCGATGCCGGTGCCGGTGGAGGCGACGATGCGTCAGTCGAAGCAGCCGCTGCAGTCGCGGGTGCTGACGACTGTGTAGGTTGCGAGGGTTCCGCCGGTGCCGACGACGCTTCCGTGGCTGGTGCAACTGGCTCCAGCGCTGGAGCAGCCGCCGATGCAGCGGCCTCCTCTTCGGCCGCGCGCTTCTGGGCCGCTTCCTGTCGCGCACGCTCCTCTTCCATCGACACACGAAGGGCCTGAGACGATAGCAAAACGTACAGGCATTAGTACAGCTTCAAGCATCAATAGTATCCCAGTCGTCTTCGTACCAGAGCCAGTTCCGGGTCCATGCTCGGATCCACTCCGCCATATTCCGCAAAGGCGTCGTTGCCACCTCCGCCACTGCTGGCAGCTGCAGCAGCAGCGCCGTCGTCTCCGTGCAACACAGGCGAGGACACCAGCACATCCGAGGGCAATACGCCTGCTGGTACAGTGACGAGGTGGCTGTTATTGTTACTGCTAGCGGCATCCACGAAGGCCTGCAGCTTGGTCGCATTGGCGTCCAGATCGCCCATACTCACCACGTCCACGGCAATCTGCACAAAATACAGCAACACTCATCAGTACACTGTGATTGGTCCAAAGATCTCTGTCAACTGCGCGCACGTTGTTCTTCTTAAGCAGTTTGCCGATCTTGGTGAGCTGCTTCTCGTCTTCCTCAATGGGCGAGCCGATAAATACCACGACACGCTGGCCGCCAGTCTTGTTACGACGGTGTTTAAGTGCTAGTTGCGCCACTTGAATGGCATTGGCAAGTTTCATGGAGCCACCGATTTTGACGCGATGGATAGCACTCAGTAGCGTTCCCATATTGTCCGTCGGAGACGCTAGCACCTGAACACTCTTGCCGGCCATGGCCAGAACACCGACGGTACTCTCCGGATTAGCCTGCGTCTTGGTTCCGCACAACAAGTTGGCGGCGTCATGCTGCGCCTCGAGACGCGAGGGAATGTAGTCCCCATTGCGCATCCATTCCGAGTTGTCCAAGCTGTGAAAAAGTAGCGTAACAGCAGCAATACAGAACGTTTAGAGTGTAAAAAGCGCGATTACCAAGACCAAGCAGAGGGGAGCGCGGGGTTGGCGCTAATAGCGACAACGGTGGAGTGTAAACGCACCAAATCATGGTCGATTCGAGCGGCATCTTGACCTTCTTGGGGACGTGTTGAGCTCTGAAGTGAAGAAGATCGGGGTCTTTAAACTGAATAGTGACATTTCATTTGCGTTACTTCAGAAAACAAAGACATACGAAGTAGATCATCTCGAAACTTGACAAGCATGGCTACGTCGCAGTCAAACAAGACGCAGCGTCATTGGCGTGTGCTGCGAAATGCGCTATTGCGCTCAACGCCCAGTCGAGCTTCAGCATCAGTGGATGCGACAGGGACCACAGCATCGTCCATTGCCACCGAGTTCTTCCCGCTGTACCCAGAGGCTCCAGCTGACACGGTAAAAGTGCCGCTCGCGCAAGAAAACTTCGCGTGGATGGCCTACGACTTGTCAGAAGAAGTGGATAAACAGAAGGGGAGTTCGACGAGAGTATTTGTGCACGAGAAACGAAAGGATGCGAAGCGTGTAACTATCGCGGAGTTGATGAGCCACCAGGTGAACCAGGGTGTGGATAATACAGGAAACATTCGGACATGGCCGTCCGAGCAGATCCTGTTGTACTTCATGCTCTCGAGTGGTGTTTGTTCGCAGGTTCAACGCCAAGGAACTGAAGGTGATTTGTTACCTGTTTCGTGCTGCGAGTTGGGCAGTGGTATGGCGGGTCTGGCCAGCTTAGGACTGTTGGCTTGTGATCCTGTCGACTTTGAGCGCGTCATTATGACAGACGGTAATCCGCTCTCCGTGAAGAACCTGCAGCTATGCGTAGAAGAGAACAGGGCGCAGCAAGTATTCTCTGCTCGTGCTCACTGCACGAAAGTCACGGCGGAGCTGCTGCGGTGGGACCGTAACGTCACTTTGCCTGAAGACTTGCAGCACCAGTTCGACCTCGTATTCGCCAGCGACTGTCTATTCTTCGAGGAGTTCCACGAAGATCTTGCATGCACCATAAAGAGTCTTTTGCGCCGTGGCTCCGGACGCTGCCTGCTCTTACAGCCAAGCCGCAATGGCTCCATGGAGCGCTTCTGCGTCATTGCCGAACGTCACGGCTTCGCCATTCGCCAGTCCCGAGACTTCGAACCCAGTATCGTCCGCAAGCACGAAAAATACCTGCAATCACGACCAGATTACGTGCCTGATGTACATTTCCCGGTGCTGCTCACACTCACAATAGCCACGTCATAGTTGTCGTTTGTAGCCATCCTTAAGATTACAAATTGTTAAGCTCGCCTCAAATTTGCATTTTTTTTAAGAAACGAACAACTGATGAGCCCTTCGGTAGTAATCCCTACTTTTGAAATACCCTCCGACAGGAATAGCTTTTTACTTCAAAATGGAATTCAAAATCACCAAAAAGGACTACTGTATTCTGAGGTGCTTAATTAAAAGAATAATCATAATTGCGCCGCAGTAAAATCACGAGGCGTTTTTTACTTGCCAATAAATCAAGGAGGCAACCGCTCGGAATCATCTGCGTTGCACGTAAGTGCATTTATCATCCGCGTTTTGCTCTTTTTGGTGGGCATGCGCTGGGTGGCTTGATGCTGACAAATCGGCAAAACGCTGTGATTTTTATTAATAATAGCATTAATGAGCGCGATGTGGGTTGGCTTAGGTTTGACTAGCATATTGATGACACTAGCGTAAGTGAGGAGTGAGGGGGGGACGCAAACGCAAACGCAAAAATTGAAATGGATGGTAGTGTGTAAACGCTGTTGGCTTGATCGATTTTTTTAAGTGTACATGTACAATTTAAGGTAGGGCTTAGCCACCCCACGAAAGAAATACCCTTATATAAGCATAAATAATTATTCCGGCGCTATGACTACGGAAGGGTTTATCTGTATTTCGAGAGCTCATTTAACTCAGTTGCTAGTCCCTACTTCCACCGAGGCACTCGGTGCGTCGAGTCCGAGCCCCAATCGAGTCCAATGACACGTCCCTCGTCCGTCAATGTGCGTTTCCTCCGCGCGTGCAGCTTTGTTTCCCCTTTCTGAGCGTTTACATGTATTGAGCATCGTTTGGTCTCTCGATGTATCGACTACCCAAATGTTGCAGAACGAGATGGGCAACGTGCGTGTGTGCTGCCGCGTGCGCCCGCAGAATGCCAAGGAGCTGACAATGGCTTCAGCTCAGCGGTGCGTCGTCACTGAGAATGAGACGATCGAAGTCAAGGTGGGGCGCGCCAGCACGGGAAGATATAGGTCCAAAAGCTCACTTTTCATCGTATTATTGTGTCATTTCGCAGTCCAATGAAGGAAGTCCACAGAAATTTACATTCGACCATGTTTTCGGAGAAGAAGACAACCAGAAGACGGTCTTTGAGAGCGTGGCGCTACCTGTTGTTCAAGGTACGGGCCAATGGTGGAGGTCCCGTCAGTTCTGAGCTAACTTGACTGATTCAATATTGCTGCTGGGTAGATATTATGGCAGGATACAATGCGACCATCTTCGCCTACGGTCAGACGTCGTCGGGTAAGACGTACACAATGGAAGGAGCTAATATCGACCACCCTGAGCTACAAGGCATCATTCCACGCACAGCCACCGAGATCTTCAACAACGTCATGAACGCTGACGAGAACATGGAGTTCATCGTGAAAGTGAGCTACATTGAGATCTACATGGAGCGTATCCGTGATCTCCTGGATCCATACAAGTCGAAGGTGAATTTACAGGTTCGAGAGGACGCACAACGCGGCATCTTTGTCGAGGGGATGACTGAGATGTGTGTGACCAGTGACGACGAGTTGCTGGCAGCTATGCGAGCAGGTGCAGCTAATCGCGCTGTGGCTGCCACTGGAATGAACGAAGGAAGTTCTCGCAGTCACAGTGTCTTCATGGTTACACTGTTCCAGCGTAACCTTGAGAACCAGGCCACGAAGGCTGGCAAGTTGTATCTGGTGGATCTTGCTGGCTCTGAAATGGTGCGGAAGACTGGCGCAACGGGTCGACAACTAGAAGAGGCTAAGACGATCAACAAGTCGCTGTCTGCTTTGGGAATGGTCATCAACGCGCTCACAGACTCACATATCACCCACGTGCCGTATCGAGACAGTAAACTGACTCGAGTACTGCAAGAGTCACTAGGTGGCAACTCCCGCACGAATCTTATTATCAATGTCTCGCCAAGCAGTTTTAACGCGTCGGAAACGATCTCCACCCTGCGATTTGGCATGCGCGCCAAGTCCATCAAGAACAAGGCAGTGGTGAATGAACAGCGCAGCGTCGCTGAATACGAAGCTCTGCTTGCTGCAGCCGAGAAGGAAATGGCGAAGCAGCAGACGTACATTATCGCTCTTGAAGCTAGACTTTCAGGGAAGGAGACGCCAGACGGAGCGGCGGATGTGGCAGGAAATACAGTCTCCGAGGATACACAGGACGCGGGGAAAGCAGAAGGCGTGGGCAGCACTGTCGATACGGTCGATGTTGATATGGACCTGTCGGATGGAGCTACTTCAGAGGCTCCACCGTCACCTTCGGCCCGTGCAGGTCGCGCTCTGGCAGAGTTGCAAGAGAAAGTGACACAGCTTGAAGAAGAGTTGGCTGAGGAGAAGCAAGAGTCAATGCGACGTGGGGAGGAGATCTGCTTGCTCACCGCAAAGCTGGAGGAGCACGTTCGAGCACTTGAGACGCAGCGTGTGTTGTCAGAGGAATTACAGCGAGTAAAGGATTTGCAGGAGAAGACGTTAGAAGAGAAGATTCGCCAGCGCGAGACGTTGTATGCGGAATTGCGCACCGACTTGGACAGACGCACTTTTGAGCACAAGGAGCTGGTGATTCACTCGGAGACGATACAGAGTGAGTACGATGCGCTGCTGCAGGAAATGTCTGCCCAAACGCCACCGGGTGGCGGCAAATTGGCAGCGGCGGCGGAAAAGATTGCTCAGGCAGAGCAACAGTCTACAGACAACGAGTCTCAAAAGAGTGGAGGAGAAGATGCCACTGGGAGCCAGGAGCAGAAATCTGGAGACGAAGCGTCGAAGGAGGGTACAGAGTCACAACAGTATACGGATCTGAAGGCCAAGTACACGGCACTTGAAGCAGAGCTGAGAGAATACGAGAAGGAATATCTGACGCTCAAGCAGGCAACTGATCACGAGAAGACCCGCTTGCAAGAGGAAATCGACCGCAAGTCGGCGCAAATTCGCGACCTCGAAGCACAGGCGGATCGTGCTGGTGCTTCGACCGGTGAAGGTGGCTCGACTCCGTCTTCCCCCACAAGCGCCACCAGTTCGAGTGGAATGTCTGCGCGCGAGAGGCAACACATGCGATCTATTCAGCAGAAACTGGAGCAACTCGTCGCTGTTCACCGCCAGTTGCTGCGTAAGTACGCGTCGCTGGAGCTTGAGCTGTCGGAGGCCAAGAAGAAACTGGCGCTGCGGGATGAACGCATCAAGCAGGTCGAAGCGAACAACCGCATTATGGCTGGCAACATGCGGGCACAGGCCGAGAAGCATGTAGAGGAGCTCACACATCTCCGCGACCAGATTGCGGACTTTCGTGGCGCTCAGAGATCGCACTTTGGATAAAGTCTCCATGCTTGGCACACGCGTGCAGTACCGTCGTGTACCAGTACAGATCGGGCGTGATTAAAACTCTTCGTGGTGGCTCTATCTATGGTGGAGACGGCGTTATCCGTCCAATTCGTGGAGGTGGTCGACGTAAGACGCAACTTGGAGAAGCAGCAATGAGCATCGCTGGTGTATCGGGAGTCGCTACGGGCGCTACCGACGCTGGTGTCCCGTCATCGGGCTTCCTGACCCGCTTGTTCGGCAAAACGAGCTAATAATCGATTAAACACTGAATGCCTAATCGTACCTTACTTTGTTTTACATTCCATCAGTTTTCACAGGTGAAACGTGGATAGCTATTATAACTCGTGGCTGGCTGAAAACAACGATGGCATCCGTGTACGACGAGGTGGAGATCGAGGACATGGAGTACGACGCGGAGGAGCAAGTGTACTACTATCCGTGCCCATGCGGCGATCGCTTCTCCATTGACCTGGAGGAGCTCTACGACGGAGAGGACATCGCCACGTGCCCGAGCTGCTCGCTGACCATTCGCGTGGTATTTGAAGAGGAGAACCTGCCAGAACTCGCAGAAGAGGAGTGAGGGAGGAGGCGAAATAATATGCAGCATCGCGTGAGTTAAAGCGACCAAACGCTGATATGATCCGCGACGAATTAGCTTCTATTGTGAAGGTTGGGCAAAAAGGATTGACGACGTCGTAGATTATTAGCGGTGTGGTGAAGTGGAACGGATGCTGAGGGCCAATTCGGGTGAGAAGTTTAGACAAAGGCGCGCCTCTCCGAAGTCATCGTTTTACGTCGTTGCGAGATTTCTAGCTGGTTCTGGAGCTTGAGAACAGTATCAGATCGAAGATGATGGTGCTTCACTTGCGTGGCTTTATTGGTGTTGATGCAGTCTCAGTGATGATGCATGCACCTGTGAACAAGAGAGAGTGTGTGGCCTCTCTCAAGGGCAACGACTCATTGAACGATTTTCCAGTTTTGGTGGTTTCTATCCAGCTCATCTAAAAATTCAGAAAGCTAAAAATTCAGAAAGCTGTTGTGATCAAATCGTCGTTGCGCTGGGGTAAATTGCAGTATTCTTTTCGCCATTTATATTGTCATGAAATTGGACAATAAAGGCTGTTGGCGCAGTGAACGCACAAACTACATGTATACTGTAATTGCATGGATACAGGTACGGTCGTTACAGCTCCCAACGTTTTACGGATATTACTACATACATGTACTGAAGTAGTAATCACCTTTCGCAAGAAATGTACATGTACTTTAAGTAAGACGGGCTCCTTTGAGACGGGCGTGTCGCTCTTAAGTGAGACGGGCTCCTTTGAGACGGGCGTGTCGCTCGATTGCCGGCAGCACACTCTTGCACAGATCTCGTTTGTCGATGTAGTAAGGTAACCTCTCGCTTGAATGGTTCACAGTTTCCTTTTTGCTGGACCAGTATGAAGTTTTTCTCCTCGGTGTTCGCAATATTCCTCCTCGTGGCAAGTGTCCTCGCGATCGACGCAGGAGCCACTGCGCAACCGCCAGATAATAACTGTGGGACGGGTTTCTCCCAAACCGGCGAGCGCACGAACACGAACGACAAACAGGGTGACTCCCTTGTGAAGGGCGAGCTTAGTCATGCGGAGTCAACCAACTCCGATGTCCCGCACCCCGGTCAGAACAACCCTGACCAAAACAACCCCGACCAAAACAATCCCGGTCAGAAAAACACCCCGGATCAAAATGCCACGAGCTCCGATGGATCACAAGAGCAAGCCCCGCCAGTTCTTAATGGCGACTGCATTCTCACCGGAGTCTACATCAACAACACTGATGTGTCAGAATGCCACAGTATCCTTGTCAGGTCTTTGCATGTGCCTGCGGGCTTGACGCTGAATTTGACCCAGTTACAGAATAACACCAGGATCTCGTTCCAAGGTACCACCACGTTTGGAAAGATGGTACGCTTTGTAGCGAAATGTGTAAAATGGCACCATCTAACATCCACCGCTCTATGTTTTACTACTGTAGCTATGGGCTGGGCCACTGGTCGAGCTGCAAGGTAATAATCTTACGGTCACTGGACCCGGAACGCTTGACGGACAAGGTGCATGGTACTGGGCCCAAGCTCGAAACGTTACCAAACCACGTTGGCTTTTCAAGATGCACAAGGTGGTCAATTCCACGGTGTCGGGATTGAACGTACTGAACATGCCTTTTCATGCCTTCGCTGCGCTGTCGAAAGCTGCAGCTACACGACCATCACCGGAGTCACCGTCAACTCCAGCACTGGTGACGGGATCGCGAAGAATACGGATGGATTCGATCTCGACAAAAATGATCACGTTACGATCACCAGGAATCGAATTTTCGGCCAAGATGACTGTCTTGCGATGCAGTCGAGCACGAACACTGTATTCAGCTACAACTTTTGCTGCGGCACACACGGTATCTCTATCGGCTCACTCGGCGGCCCTGAACAGAATGTATCCACCACTGTCGATGGGCTCACGGTTACAGGTAACACCATTGTGAACAGTACCAATGGAATCCGCATCAAGACTATCATCGAACTCAAAGGTCTCGTCACCAACGCAGTGTACACCGACAATGAGCTGTCGAACGTCACGCACGCTATCGTGGTGCACTCGGATTACAACAAGACCAAGGGCGGCTATGCTGGCACACCAACGAGTCTTGTGAAGATCACGAACATCACTATCGACGGTTTGAAGGGTACGTCGGAGAATTTGTACGACATTGTGTCGAATCCGGACGTGGTGTCGAACTGGATATTCAAGAATATCAATGTGGCCCGCATCAAACATCGGAAACTGCACCGGTGAACCTGCTAGCGTTCAGTGTCAAGACGCGAAATAACGTATGCGGAAAAGTCTCAATCTCACACACTTTGTAACTGTGGAGTCAAAGTAAGCTGGCTTATTTCTTACTAAAAATAGTGTGAGCTCTGGGCACTATTAATAGTTTATGAACGCTACATGTATGTTGACAGGAAGTAGATTATGCGCTGGGTGTGCGAAGGTTGTGACTACGCACAGAAGTGAGACAAAGACTGAGATCTATCGTACATTCAGGTTGTAAGGTGTAGCTCGGTCAAAGGAGGGCTCTGAAGCTTTGCCGACTTGCATGAATGATTTTTGCATCGTGATTATAAAGATAAACTAACTCGTATGTGATATAGCCTATGAAGCTCGTCTCTAGACCACCATCGAAGGATCAGGGAGCTACACTTACGATCTTGCCTTATCTAAATGATTGTCCTATTTTATCCGCCTATCGTTCGTTCCAACTAATTATCCGTACTTCCTTTGCACTAGCCGAGCGCCGCCGCTTCGCGGGGGGGGGCTTCTATGCATCTTATTTACCGTGTTACGCCTCCGTTCCGCTGACCACGGGCTCGCAGCACTATTAATACTCGCATCGGACCGCCTCGCGGCAGCAGGTACTTTTTATCCAATGGGAGCCGCCTTGTCTCCGCTCGACAGCCAATGAGAATGCTAAAAAATCTGACCGTTTTGTGTGACGGGCGGACAGACTAGCTACAATTGATAGTTAAGACTACCGTCTTACCCCGCATATAAGGCATAGGTGCTGTAAATGAATACAACGCTGCTTGTGTGTTATATTCGTTTAGAAAGCCTATGTGTTGTACAACGAACAAATTGTTTGACTTTGAAGAAGCAAGTCTGTGGGTCCTGGAATATGGCTTGGTCGTTTAGGCTTGACCCTCCTACGCGATCGGCGTGGGTTCAAACCGCCACGCTGTGCTTCTTGCTAAGAGCAGCAAAGCCGTGACCTTTCACGCCTATCCGATAGTCTGCTAGAACAGCGAGTTTCTCGTGGATACTATAGCTACGTCGCTCAGCACTCATGGCTGTGTAACTTATAAAATAAGAGAATTAAAGCCAAGTAACAGCAGCACCGACAAGTTTGTTCAGAAGGGTGGTTGGTTGGGAGCTCTCAAGAATATTTATTGGCTGGTACAGCCTTGTGTTTTACACATGTGTTCTAATTAGGTAGGTGGTCAAATTGAGGTTTAAGCTAGATGTCGAGCGAATCCCGTATTTATTTAGAACACATATGCCTTATATGCGGGGTAAGACGGTAGCCGTTCGCCGCCGCTACGCGGCGGGGTGGCATGAGATGAGATGGCCGTAGCTTTATATACTTCAGCGTATCGCGTGCGAGCCTGTACTTCCCGATTGCGTATGCCTATATCCAGCTCAGTACGTCGTGATTTCGTATGCTTAAACCACTTATCATTCCGTTGTCTGACGTGGCCCCGCACGATATTGTGGGTTCGCAGACTACAGTTGCTCCGTACTACAGATTGGATTTCGTGTTCTTTCGTGACCCGTGCTCTTCCGTATTCTTCTGACTCTGTGGGTCCTGCTAACCCGTGGATCACGATGTTTAGTGGTTATGCGCGTAGCCTTTTTGGTTTCACATGCTTCCGTAATATGGCTCGCTTTCGTGGCTGCTAGCTTCTCCGTGTTTAAAAACGTTTCCGTGGGCCTCACACGTTTCGTGGTCCATTAATCTTCCATGACTAGTGGCGTCCCACCACTGGTACCCTCGCCGATGGTGCTCTTCCGTGATTTTGGTACCCATCCCCTAGTTGTGTAATACCGTCGCCCGTGTATCGTGCTCTCCTGGTGTAGCTCCATCGACAGCGTTTTCGCGCCATCTATTGAGGGTTGCTGGTCTTGGTACTGTGTATCAGCTGTACCCATTAACCGGTCAGCCTGAACCGGTCCCATACAATCCCGCTGTGATTATGGTACGTTGTTTATGCAACCCATAATGATGAAAGTAGAATGATTGGACGAGTACATAATGATTGGATGACCTAGGTAGTGAGGACAGTGCAAGCCCGGATCAATCAATCACTTTCGAATCCTTCTTCTCCGCTCAAGTGTCTTCACTCTGGTCTCCGCACCAAGAGCAGAAGTCACTCCGTTCAACCCCAAGCTTCGTTCCAACACCTCTACACCGTTAACAGTTTATGAGCCCAAGGACCATGTCTTCCGCCCATGACACCTCGATCAAGGTCACCACTGACAAGTTCATCGATGACAACTACGCGACGTGGAACCGCTACATGCGTGGCGTGTTTCTGACCAAGTCGGTATGGCACGTTGTAAGCCGGGAAACGACTCTGAGCTTCACGGATATCCGGACCAAGGACGACTACGTCAAGGCGAGCAACGTTGCGTTCGGACTGATGTTGCTCCACATGAACGCGGACTTCCATCACGGGGTTGATGACTGCGAGGAAGCGTGGGGCGCGTGGACGCGCTTGAAGACGCTGTATGATGGGTCGCAGAAGGCTGGTCGCATCTACCCGAAGCGCCCACTCTTCAGCATGGAGATGGCGGAAGGCGGCAATGTCTTGCATCATTGCAACGAGGTCCTCAACATCAGCGCCAAGCTCAGCCGCATCGGCGCCAAGCTCAGCCGCATCGGCGCCAAGATGGAGGACGAGGACGTGGCGATCTGCTTGCTGCGAAGTCTTCCCAAGCGTTACGAGATCGTCGTGTTCAATCTGGAGATAAGCAACGCAGAGCCGCGGTCGCAAGACGTTGTGAAAGTGCTCGCAAACGAGCACATCAAGCGACAAGGTGAGAAGACGGCGACGGTGAAGACTGAAAGCGCGGCCAAAGCGTTAAACACCGACCGAGAGTCTCGTCAATGCACGTACTACAGGAAATTGGGGCACATGATTGACAAGAGCTGGACCAAGAAGGATGAGGTTCGAGGTGCTCGACGCGTCGGCAACGGCCGTGGACGCGGAGCTAACAACATCCAGTGGCAAAACGACAGCAACGACGACTACGACTACGATCGAGTAGCGTTCGCGGTTTCCCTGGAATGTGGAGTTTCGACGAACAAGAATGTGTCTGGATTGTGGGCGGTCGATAGTGGTGCCACGCACCACTTCTGTAACGACAAGTTCAAGCTCGCCAATCTGTTCTAGCGCAATGAAGGCGAGCTATCGATGGCCGACGGGAACAAGGCAGCTATCAAGGGTGTGTAGACCGTGGAAAGAGTGGTTCTGCCCAACGGCGCCGAGCGGGAGATCAAGATCAAGAACGCACTTTATGTGCCTAGCATGAGCAAGAATCTGCTTTCGGTACCGCACATCAACGAGAACGGAAAGCTTCAAGTGGTGTTCAATGACACCGACATCTCACGCAGGGACTTGATTCAAGTGGTGGCATCGGTGGAGCTCGTAGATGGACTCAACTGGCTTCGCACGCCTCTTCGATCAGCAAATGCGGCGACAACTGGAAGGACGGTCAACCTGCATATGCGTATGGGTCACGCTTCAGTCGAGGTGCTTCGCAAGATGCTTGACAGCAAGATGATCAAGGACGCGAAGGCACCTTCCAAGCCTAGTGGTCCAAGTCTGTGTCACGGCTGCCAGCAAGGCAAGATGGTCCAATAATTATTCCCTAGCAACCGTGACAAGCGTCGCTACGACACCTTCGAGCTGCTTCACTTCGACATTTGCGGACCCATGGAGAAAACCTCGCTTGGTGGCAGCGAGTATTTGCTACTTATCGTGGACGAAGCCAGCGGATGCATGAAGGGGTTCTGTCTGCGTGCCAATTTAGAAAGCGAAGACTGCATCAAGACGTACATCACGAAGGTGCAGAAGCAGTTTGGCAAGAAGGTCAAGTTCGTGCGACATTACGGAGCTCGTGCGTTTGCGACACACTCGTTCAAAGATTTCAACGAAGCCGAAGGCATCGAGCAACAAACCACGACTCCGTACGCGCACCAGACTAACGGCACGGCAGAGCGGGCCATCCGCACCATCGTTACGATCGGCCGCAGCATGCTGCATCATGCCAAGCTGGACAAGTGTTTCTGAGGTGAAGCGGCGATGACGGTCATCTACGTAAAACCGCCTGCCATCAACTAAGATCGAGTGCAAGACTCCGTTCGAGATTGTGTACAAGTTCGCGCCGAGTGTGAAACACATGCGCGTCTTCAGTTGTCGCGCTTTCAAATTAACTCCGAAGGAGAAACGGCTCAAGTTGGATACGAAGGCTCGCGCCGGATTGTTCCTGGGCTACGAAGAAGTATCCAAGGCGTATCGACTTGATGACAACGAGGCGGGGCAGGTGGTTACCAGTCGCGATGTCAACTTCGATAAATCGATCTTTGGACTTTCAGCGCCAATTTCCGATGAAGATGTCGACGACCTGGACTTCGACTCTCTCGATATCGACAATGACGGTTTGCGCCAGACGGAGCACAGGCAGGCGGGGAAGCGCAAGAGCCGCCCCAGTGACGAAGATGAATCTACCACAAGACCGCGAACTATGCGTCATCGACCCGGACTGGAAGAAGCAAGTGCGCCGACCAATTCATTTTTGCGTCGATCAGACGCAAACGAAGAAGAAAAAGCTGGAGATCAAGATGAAGAATCGAATCCCCCCGTGTTTTGGTGGGCAAGTGCTAACGCAGTCGAAGCTGCGGTGGACCTGTCGGAGCCGGCGACTTTCCAAGAGGCGGTGAACGGCCCCGATAAGTGCACTGGCGCAAGGCAATTCGTGCTGAGCTCAAGTCGATGCGACTTCGAGGAGTGTTCCGTGCTGCTAAGCTGCCGAACGGACAAGGTACCAAGTGGGTGTTCAAGATCAAGCGCAAAGCGGACGGATCGAACAAGGCACGCCTCGTGGCCAAGAACTTCAAGCAAAAGTACGGCATCGACTACACTGAGAAGTTCTCGCCGGTTGTCAAGTGCGTGACGTTGCGCATGATGATCGCTTTGGCCAAGTACTTTGGCTGGCCAACTAGGCCAACTAGACGTGGTGACGGCATTTCTGTACGGCGTGATGAAGGAGATC